ATCCAGACATACCCTAGACTGACAGCTGTACACCAGTTACAAGTGTACATAGGCTTGCTAGGTTTCTGGTGGATGTTCATTCCATACCTAGTCACCTTGTCGCACCCTCTATTATCAGATGACTCGAAAGAGTGCAACATGGGACTGGAAAGATGCAGTGGAAGCTACATTCCAGGACTCAAAGAAGACAGTTGCTCAAATGTAGGCCCTTCAAGTTGTTAGTTCTATCCTGCCTTTACCCTAACTATAAATGTGGATGAGGTTACTTATGGCAGAGGTTTATGGCAAAAGCTGGGGAAGCAAAAACACCCTACTGGCTTTTGGTCACAGTTATGGAAAGGAACTGAAAACAGCTATTCCCTGATTGAGAAACAGTTGGCAACTGTATATGCTGCTTTACATGTCTGTAAAAAAAATCATCGACAGGGCCAGGGATTTAGCTCAGTGGTGCTGTGCCTGCCTTGCAAGCGGAAGGCCCTGAGTTTGACCCCGGGTATCCAAAAAAAAAAAAAGAGAGACAACAGACTATGGAAATATAGACTAAGTACCCAATACAGGCCTGGTTTGAGGTTAGGACAAGCAAACAGGAAAATCAAACCAATGGACAAGTTTTGGACATTGTGGTTACTTGCCATGCATGAGAAGGAACCTCTGTATATTTTTTTTTTTTTTCAGTACAGGGTATCAAACTCAGGACCTTGTGCTTGCGAGTCAGGCGGCAATGCCACCCAGCAATATCCCCAGTTTGCATGTTTGAGTCTCCCCACGCTACAGCCTAATAGGCAAGGGACTAAATATCAATGAACTTGAGAATGGCTCACAAACCCCCTACTTGGAAATTGGGTGTTCCTCTTAATGCCCTGAGGGAAAGGACTGCGTTATGCCATAAAGGTGCAGCCCTGTGTGCTCCACCTGATGCCGGGCCACCATCCTAAAATACAAGTAACACTGGCTGCTTGGCCTCTTCCCGTAGAGATAGGGGTCCAACCTGGGTTCAACCCCTTTGCCCTTGGTGGCAGAGAGGATACAGGACTGGTATTCTAAACCGGGAAGTAAAATGATCCTGGACACCATCTTAACGAAGGATGAATATGGGCCCTGCATCCTCCCCAAAGGGCAAGACCTCCCCATAGTGGCTTCTCTTTCTGCCTTGTCCTTCTGACAAGGATGAGCTAAGCCAACAGTGTTGTCTCATGGGCACACATTTGCTTGTGTGCACCAGCAATTGCGCTGTTGGGTATGCACTACACTCCCAATGGGCACAGCCAAAGACCTTCCATAAAGATTGCACCAGCATCTCCGTGCAGCTGGCGATGACAAAACCATATTAGACCCGCCTTGGATCAGCAATGCCAGACAGTTAAGGTGCTGATCTGGAAAAACACAACCACCCCTCACATATTAGAGGCTATGATACATAATGGTTGGGGGTAGATGACAGAAAGAACAGGTCAATATGTCAGTGGAGATTAAGACCCCTGCACTTGTGTAACAATACCTTACAGATAAATGACACAAATGCTTGGTGGGATGGCCATAAACTCATAAATACAGTGCCCATTTGATTGGCCTGTGGCAGATGACTTATGGGCCTGTGGCTCTACCAGTTGGCCATGGGGCATTACACCTGGGGTTATCCCTATATTAAGGACACTATCAGACCTACTCTGAAAGAGATACCCCACAATTGGGACACTGTGTAACTTAGATGGCACCGTGTCAAATGGATGGCCTGATGGTTTTATCCTGTGACACTGCTGGTGCCAAGTACAGGGACTATAGACCTAGCCCTCCAACTTAAAGTTCTAGCTCAATACATGGTGCAGGGCCTAAATATTACACACCAGTCTCTAATGTTGCTCATAGATAAAAGATCCCAGATAAAAAAGATGGTGTTACAGAACCACACAGCTCTGAATTTGTTGACTACAACATAGGGAGGCACTTGTGCCCTCCTACATGGAGAATGCTGTGTTTTTATTCCTGACCACAAAAAAAAACAAATAAAAGAGGACTTGCAAGAGATGGACAGAGGTGTCCACTATCCAGGCCTTACAAGGGCCCCAGACCCAGTGATAGGAATCTCTAAGATACACCTGGAGCTGCATGGCTCTCAATGGTCCTGCAATAGGAATGAGGCTGTTGGTTATGTGTTTTTCCTTGTATCACTTCTGTGGGCTCTGGGCACACAGGACAGCCTTGTGTGCCATTTGCAAGAAGTGTCAGCCCCCTGGTTTTTAAAAGGGTGGGATGTAGGGGGCTGCTGTGATATGTGTCAAAGCCTGGGCAGCATCTGAGGACACAACTCTGTCACTTAAAGCAAGCACATGACAGACTGTGTTTTATACATACATATATGAAGTCTGTATACTTGGGGAGAGGTTCGGTTTGACGTTAGAACACAAACTTTGCACTGGGAATTGAACTTAGGACCTTGCACTTTTGAGGCAGGTGGTGGAACCACTGAGCTAAATCCCTGGCCCTAGACTTTGTTATAATAGTAATAAATCAGCAGGGATGACCACACATGTATCACATGCCTATGCAAGGTCCCACGGCTGTTTCTTTCTTTCTTCTTCTTTTTTTTCTCTCTCTCTCTCTTTTTAGTACCAGGGATTGCACTCTGGACCTTGCACTTACAAGGCAGGTAGCAGAACCACTGAGCTGAATCCCTGGCTACCACAGCTGTTTTGTCTAACTGTATCTCAGAAAAGCTGATAAAGACACGCAGCTCTCAAGCTCTAGAGCTGCAGCTCCAACTCTCATGCTCTGATGCTGTAAAATAAAAGTTGGTTCCTACTTTTTTGTGACATCTACTCCATGCAAGTTCTTTTCTTTGGGAGGGACCTCACCTGACCGGACCTCACTTCAGCCCACTGGCCCAACACTATTGGATTGTCTTTGAGAAAGAACAAGATCTGATGTGTGTTTCTGTGTTTTGTTTTCATGCTAGAATCAACCCAGCAAGTCATGCTCACTAGGCTAGTACTCTGCCATTGTTATAACCACAGTCCTTGATTTACTTTTTCTTTTCTTTTCTTTCTTTTTTGAGAGGGTTTCACTATGTACAGTAGTTCAGGCTGGCCTTGAACTCATTATGTTGCCCAGGCAGGCCTCAAACTCAGAGATCCTCCTGCCTCAGCCTCCTCCAACTGCTTTTTTTATTCTTTTTTGAGACAGGGTCTCACTATGTAGTTGAGACTGACCTGGAACTCACTATGTAGCCCAGGCTGGTCTCAGGCTCACAGCAATTCTCCTGCCTCAGCCTCCTGAGTGCTAGGATTGCAGGTGTGTGCCACCATGCCTGGCCCAGCACATACCATTTTGGCCTCCTGATACGGACTCACACAGGACACTGCAGTGAGCCCCAGGTGTTTGACTGGATCCTTCAGAACTCCACTGTGCTGACAGCCTTTTGTACTCTCCCACACCTGCCACTGTGGGCAGTCATTGTGACCCAATTTTGTAAATCCTTATATATTTATATAACTTGCATTAAATCTGTTTTTTAGTAAGCACTCACTGATACAGATTTTGGTACTGGGAGTGGCTTTAGAGAAGCAGAAATGTAAAGATGAAATTCTTTAATGGCTTTAAGGTTTCCTGGAGTTGGCTCTCTGATAAAACCTAAAGATGCCACGGTCTCTCCTTCTTGTACTATGGGGAATACTGATAGTCCATGATGTGAACTATTTAAAGTAATACACAGTGTAGATCCATTTGACTATCCTAATTCACTCCTTGTGAGATGAAAGGAATTTAGCGACTCCATATATGAAACGTTTGAATATTTCTGGCAGAATGGAAAATATAATGATGTTGGTTGGTTGCCCTTATCTCCGGACAAACTAGTGAAAGAAAATGATGAGGTCAAAACATCCATACAAAATCTAAAATCCTCTGACTGTGAGGACAAATTAATAAAGGAAAATAAGCTCAGATTCAAATTCCCAACTTCAGACACACATACAATTTTTTTTTTTTTTTTTTTTTTTTTTTGGTGGCAGGTAAACAGTTAAAGAGACAGGCTTGAGAATTACAGATTCCAAGGCATGGAGGTGAACACAGGGTCACCTAGTCCAGCCTCCCTTCAATCTGAAGGACAAGAGAAGTGAGGGTCACACACGAGCAGAGACAGCCCTGGGGGCCCCACAACCAGCAATGCCTGCTCCAGCCCAGCAATCTGAGACTGAGAAGTTCCATAAAAACATTTTAAAGCACTTCACTTGCTCCAGCAGTTTAAATTCTCCATAAAGCCTGTCTCGCCCCCAAACGAAAAGTATCAAGCGACTGTGTTAAGGATAATAACATTTGTCGCAGCCTCCAATCTGCACAATTAGACTTTCCCTTCTAACACAAAAGTCGTCCGCCGGCCGCAAGTCACGATGAAATGCGTGTCCTGGGGAAGGAAATACAGTCCACGTCTGGATACAGACAAACAGCTGCCCACACATACAAAATTTTAAAGTTTCTAAGTGTGTCCTGAAAAAGAATCTCCTCTTTAGCCCCAGGGCCGAGATTGCAGAAACCCAAACACAGGCCCTCATAACTCGAGGGGCTGAAATACAGCATAAGTTTAAGGCTCAGACTCAAAGGATATCTGAAGCAAAGGTGAGGGCACTGATTGGAAAACTGCCTTTTTTTTTAGAACCGCCGGGAATTCTCACATCCCGCCTAGTTTGCTCCAAACTGTTCAATCTAAAACCTTGGCTGCTACTAAAATCCAGAAACTGTCACCTCTCAAGAACAGGAGGTGAAGAGTTGCTTAGTTTTAGGAAGAGCTTCCGTAGGCCCAAAGGAACACCACCTTCCACGGAAAACCTATAAGCGCTCATCTAGCGATGAGCGGCCGCTCCCTTTGAGCCAATGAGTTCCACTCTCTGGAAGAAATCCGCCCACCCCTTGTGTCGTCATTTGTTTTCTTAAAAATGATAGGATTAAATTGACGCTTTCTTGAAGCAATAGCTAAGGTGGCTGGCGTTTGCGTTGAAACGTGACCGTGGCCCGACCTTAAAGGGGAGGGAACATAAAGAGACTGGCGTCCTTTAACACGAGCCAGGCTGGTGTCTGCCCCTTTAAGGGCGGGGCGTCCGGACAACTGAATCCGAGCCCCAGATTACCCTGAGTTTCCGTCGCCGGCTGCTCGGAAAGGCTCCTTGGTTGGGTCCGGGTGCTCAGCGGCGGCGGCGGCTCAACCCCGCTCGTCCTCCCCGGGCCCGGAGACACCCCCGTTCCAGTCATGCTGAGCCGAGTATGGAAGCGGCTGACTATGAAGTGCTATCCGTGCGAGAGCAGCTATTCCACGAGAAGGTCCGCGAGTGCATCGTGAGTGCTGGACGAGGCAGGAAGGGGCCGGCCCAAGGTGGGAGGCACGGGTGTGGTGCGAGGGGCGAAGTACTGCCCCCCGGGTCCGGCGCCGCCGGGTCTCCCTCGGGCCCGACGGAAGGAAGGGCTGGTGTCCCCGGTGGGATCCGCGGGGCCCCTGTGCGGTAAACAAAGCCCGCGGGTTTCCGTTCCTCCGCGGCTCGTCCCTCCCCTGTCCTGTTCCTTGGCTGTTCCCGGCTGGGGTCTTCCGAAGGCAGTGTCTAGCGAGCCCGCCTAGTCCCAAAGTCCGAGAGGGATGATGGGTTTGCCTGAGCGGGCTGATTGAGTGTCCCCCGCAAACTGGGTTGAGGGCAACCGCAGCTGACGTTGGATGCGGGCGAGAGGCTTCATCACCCCGAACTGGATTCCAGGAGAGACATGGGAGTTGTAGTGGTGGCAGGCGGAAGGGGGACTTGGTTAGTCTCTCAGTTTGGAAGAAAGGACTCTTGTTGAGGTGGATTCTAAAGTGCGGAGATGGGGAACAACCAGAGTTCCCTCGTTTTCCTTACATTGTTACTTTGTTTTGCCTTTTGTGTGTGTTGGGGATTTGAACCAAGGGCCTCGAGCAAACAAAACACCCATCTCAGCCCCTTCACAGGTGTTTGTTTGAAACCCTTGCAGAGTTGGTTTTCCAGCTTCCCAGCCATTCACCAGTGTCCTCCGTGAGTGGTCCTTTCAGAGCACGACAGACCACCATTCCTTACTCTGTCGCTGCCATCTAGAACAGGAGCTGAACCGCACAGCGATGGACTCCTCCCTTCTGGGCTAGGGGCAGCTAGCAGCGCTTAGGGAGTCATACCTTCCTTTGGCCTGCTTGTTGTTCTCATCCCTTTGTCCAGAGCTCCCCACAGTAGGCATCCCCCTCAAATTCTAAACAAACGAGAAAAAGTTTGGAGGGATATAAAAAAGTATTATGAGTTTGGGGAAGGCACTGATGGAGTCAGCTTACGTTTTTCTCAGGCTGGGCTTTAGGCCATCTTGGGCATAGTTAGATTGGAAAACGGGTAAAGTGTACCAGGATATACCTAGGTGTGCCCATGTCCATAAGTACTGGAGAGTAAGAAATGTGTCAGTCCCTGTGGTGACTCCGGTAGAGATCTGCTTTCAGGAAACCTTTTTGTGTGCTCCTTGGCAGAAAAGTTCACGTGGTGGCACTGGGCATTGGCCATGTTGCAGAGGCACGCCTAGGCCTTGAGGCCATATAGATGCAGATGCCCACATTCCTAAAGAACTGGGAGGGATGAAACCTTGGACAGAAAGCAGCCTCCTGGATGTCTCCCCCAACTTTTAACGCCATTAGCTGAGGACATCAGTGCTGGCCAAGGGCAGCCTGAAGTCTTCAGGTACCTCCCCCACTTGACTCTCATCGAGTGGCTACAGAACAACCTGGCCTTTGCTGGAAATGTGTGGAACTCTGCTTTCCTCGCTATTCAACAAGTCTAGCACCAAGCTGTAAAAATCTTGCAGCTACAGTTTAAGTGGTTCTGTTCCCCTGATGTCAAAAGCTGCAACTTTTTCCTAAACCAAATGGCTCTTCTGCGTCTTTTTCTTCTTAAAGTAGATAGCTGTATGCAGGTAGATTCCCTGTGGAGTGAACTCCTCTTGGAGACTAGAAGATACACTAGGCTGATCTTGTTTGTTTTTATTTTTTGAGACAGGGTCTCACTTTATAGGGCAGGCTAGCCTTGGACTCACTGTGTAGTGCCGGCTGGCCTCAGTGATCCTCTGCCTCAGCCTCCTGAGTGCTGGGATTATAGTCATGCACCACCATGCCTAGCTCATGAGGCTGATCTTGTCTTTATTTATTTATTTTTTTTAATTTTTTTATTTTTTGTTTTTTGTTTTTTTGAGACAGGGTCTCACTATGTAGTTGAGACTGACCTGGAACTCACTATGTAGCCCAGGCTGGTCTCAGACTCACAGCGATCCTCCTGCCCCAGCCTCCTGAGTGCTGGGATTACAGGCGTGCACCACCATGACTGGATTGATGTTATCTTTATAGCCTACCTCAAATGCAGTAACATCTTTATTAGCAGGGGTTTTTTTTTGTTTCATTTTGTTTGTGGGTTTTTAGTCAAGGTAACATATAGTCTAGGCTAGCCTGGACCTCACTAGGTCACTATATAATCCAGGGTAGCCTTGAATTTATGATGATCCTCCTGCCTCAGCCTCCTGAGTGCTGGGATTACAGGCATGTGCCACCACACCTGGCTCCAGGTTGAGTTTAAACTTGCAGTTTCCTGCCTCAGCTTCCCAGAGTGCTGGGATTACAGACATGTGCTACCGTGTCGGGTTCGATAATTTTCATTTATTTATTTATTTATTTTATTTATTTTTTGAGACAAGGTCTAAGTATGTAGTTTAGCATGGCCTTGAACTCACTATATAGCCCCTGCTGGTCTGAATTCATAGTGATCTTCCTGCCTCAGCTTCCCAAATGCTGGTATAGCCTGTGCCACTGCACCCAGCTCTAGCCAGGAATACTTTTTCTTGAGACTCACTGATCTTGACTGTGGAGCTAAGCTGACTAGTGGCTTCTCTGGGTAACAGCAGAGACTGGAGATTTGGTAGGATGTAGTACATGTTGTAAGATTAACCTGGCCAAACTCTGCCGTCACTGTCAGTTGGAGATCCACCATTCAGGGGTGTGTGATAGCTCTGAGAGGCCTGATCCTAAGGGTGGATGTCACTTGAGGTAGAGTCCAGAGATTGATGGCCTTTAGTGGATGATGCACTTTGAAGATGTTGGACCCCAACATAAGCCTACCTGTAGATTAAAGGAGTATTAAGTGAGACTGGTTTGGCCCAAAGCAGACCTGATCTTTCAGGGCCCCCGAAAGAGTAGAAATTCCAACTTAGTCTAGAAACGTGATTCCTACATATTCCCCTCCCTGGAGCTTGCCAGGACAGTAGCTGGAATTAGGTGAGCGTAGTGTGCCATGTAGTGTGCCTATAGTCCCAGCACTCTGGAAGGCTGAGGAAGAAGGGTTACAAGTTGGAGGCCAGCCTGGGTATTCTAGTGACCTAGAAAGACCCTGTCTCATCATAAAAAATAAAAATGGGCTGGGGATGTAGGTCAGTGCAAAGACCTTGGGTTCAGTGTCCACACCCGGTACAAGAGAGAGACAGAGACAGAGAGATATGCCAGGAGGACAAGGCAGACATCTGTCTTCAGACCTGCTTCCCTTTCATGTAACTTGCCTGAAGTACCCGCCCTCTGGTGCTGTGGCCTGTTTTAGATGTGTAAGTATGTGCATCTTAGGGGTTTGCTTTGTATCAGTGAGGCTTGGGCTGAAGCTATTGTCCCCCAGAAAATCCCTTGTAGGGCTGGGCAGGGTGCTGTTTTCCTGTGTGTGTGGGACTGACCTTGTCTGGTCCTTCTTTAGGCCCCTGAGGCCATGACAAGAAGGGAGTAAAGATAGCATCCCAGGAAGTATAGAGCTTTGTTTTGAGGAAGTCACCCCAAGGATTTAACAGAAAGGCCCTCGGGATTGTGAAATGTGCTAGAGATTAGAGCTTCTCATCCTAGCTCACTTTCTGCCACAGATCTCAATACTTCTGTTTGCGGTACTCTACATCCTCTGCCATATCTTCCTGACGCGCTTCAAGAAGCCTGCTGAGTTCACCACAGGTACTTGCAATCTCTCTTTCTTCTGCCAGAGTTTCTGTTGCCACGGAGCCAGCCTCAGGGGAAAGGGTGATGGTGCCTTCGGGGAAAGGAGAGGTGGTTTTGCTGGGCTGTCCTGGAGCCTTCCCCTTTTAAGCTTCCCTTTGTCCTCAGGTGGGGCTGCAGTGGCATAGTGGGGACTGTAGATGGAAGTGTCTGCAAGCTCCTGAGGGGCAAGTCATGTAGCTTTTCTAATCACTAGTTTCATCCTGCAAAATGGGCATAGCAATGTCTACACAGTCTGTTGTCATTATGTGGCCCAAATGAGGACCCTTGGTTAACCTGAAGTGGGCAACTGCAGAACATACGTCACCGCGGGCACATGCTCAGTGTCATCTCTCCCACTGTTCCCATAACCAGGACCAGACACCTCCCTGGTCATTGGGCTCTCAGCACCTGGTGGGGATAGCCTTTCTCTTTTTAGAATCATAAGTGTCCTCAGATTGTAGTTTTTCTTCCTGAGGTCACTGTGTGACTGATAGAGAGGGGAACATACTCGCCTCAGTCCCTAGCCCCACAGCCTGCTCAGATTATCCTGTCCTGGTCCCAGCCTTTGCTCCCCTGTGATTGCTTCATGAGCAGCTACCCTCATGTAACCCCCCTAGGGACTTTCTGTGAATCTCCCCTCTTCCCTTCCCTGCAGTCCATTTCCTTCACCCAGCCACTGATACAATACACTTCACAGATCAGTTGTTTATGGTATCAAAGAGGAACCTGTGATGGGAGAGATGTGGCAAGAAGGGAGAGATGTAGGTGAATATTTATATTCTGTCTACCTAGAACCTCTGATCAATGGATCTATCTTTCTTCCCTTCTTCCTTTGTCCTTTTCTCCTTTTCCTTCCTTCCTTCCTTCCTTCCTTCCTTCCTTCCTTCCTTCCTTCCTTCCTCCCTTCCTTCCTTCCTTCTTCCCTTCCTCCCTCCCTTTCTTTCTTTCCCTGGTATTTTGAGAAAGGGTCTTGCTTTGTCGTTTAGGCTATTGAACTCACTTCGTAGCCCAGGCTGGCTTCAGACTCCCTGAGATCCGCCCTCCTCAGCCTCCCTAGTGCTGTGGTTACAAATGTGTACTACCACCTTGGCTGGAGAATAGGTTGTAGGACTGACGGTGTGAAAGGCCTCCTTTCCACCTCTGCTTCTGTTTGTGGGCAGGGGCATCCTATAACCCTCTTAGCTCCCAGAGCTGCCCACTGATGTGCTGCCTCTTGCCCGTGTCTTTGTCTCTTGCAGTGGATGATGAAGATGCCGTAGTCAACAAGATTGCGTAAGTGTCAATACCTTAACTTGACATCAGTGGCCTTCAGAATCTGGGATCTAGGGAGGCCCCCAGAGCAAGGACAGTGAGATGTCAAAAGTAGAGAGAGTTTTTCACCCCATTTCTGGCTCTTCCTGCTTTACCTTGCTGTGCGGATGCTCAGAAAAGCTGCTGTTCCAGTCTCCCTGGTTAGGCAAGGTGATTCTGGGAGCCTTACAACCAGGAACTGCAGCTGGGGCCTGAGTCACTGGAAGTGGCCCCTGTTTGGTTTCACCTCCCAGCAACCAGAACATGGGGAATGGAGTTAGGGTGTAGGGAAGATGGAAACCACTAAGATCAGAAAATGCTTGGTTCTGAAAGGATTTCCCTACTGTTCTTTTTTTTTTTTTTTTTTTTT